ACTAATCTAGATATATAATATCGAATACTTTTACTAATCTAGACAATATACATTGCGTTCAGTTGCGTGCTGACCACATTAATTTTTTTTATTTTGTTTTGTTTATAACAGATGCATATTGCTACAAAAGTTTAAGAAAAAATTGCAAAAAATTACTGTTAGAAAAGTTTAAGAAAAAATCGTAAAAATTTTAAGTATTTACATAAATACATATTACATATTCCGAAAAAACATTCATAAATAACAAAATATATTGTTTTTTACGAATGATAGAAATAATAAATTTTAAATACATACATATGTATGTATAAGCAGGCATGCCAAACACACGGCTGCAGCTCTTGACAATTTTAATTGTTATAATTTTGTTACAAATATTAATTTAAATCAGCAGGAAAGTGTTAAAACCAGAGTAATGGTTCTGCAGGGGTTTGTCACAATTATACGAAAAATACACAATTTCGAGAATTGGAAAGCGACTGTTTTATAAATCAAATACTAATATATTTGAAGCAGTTCAATTTTCTTGTATTTGTAAACAGTAGACCAGTTAAGTAAATTCGAAATTTTCCGAATATTCTAACTAGAATAAATTATTAAAAACCGAATTTGAAAGATTTTTAGATTTTAATAGCGATGTCAAAATGGCTTATTAACCTATTTTCTTTTCCATTTTTTGTTCATATTGAAACACTTTATTCAAATTTACAATTTAAATCGAAATGATGTGCGATTCTGTATTAAAACAAAAATTTAGAGAAGTGGAAATTATTAAATTTTATATTATATTTACTTATAAATCAATTATGCGTGTTTTTTTCTATCTTCGCAATCACATATTTCTACGAACAATTGCTTTCAATATTAAAAACTTATAAAAAGGCTGAAAGATCAAGATCAACATGTTCAATCAATATTAAAAATATTAAAGATTACAACTGCGAATTAAATTCAACCAAATTTCGAAGACTTGGTAACAGAAAAACGTTGCTGATAATACAAATCAAATTTGAGTATAATTTAGTAGTTTAAGTTTTTTTTATGGTGCGATGCGAAGCAACATGCGAATCCTAAAATGAACCGTGATTATAAAAAAGTTTGACATGCCTGGTATGAAATTATGTGGATAAAAACGTAGAAATAAATTTTTTATACAAAGAGGTTTTCAAAATATTTATATTATTCAAGCATATATAAATATAATAAGGAAGGAAATTTTAAGTGCATACATACATAATTATGTATACATATTTTTTCAAATCTTCCTAACGAAACATATGTCCTCTTCAAAAAACCAGTATATCGCGATTTATAGTGAGAATTACGCTATATTTGTGCTCATAAACAAAAGTTGCTAATCAAGTTTGTTCATAAACATTGTTAATCTATCGCAGTTGTTCTTTTTTATACCCTGCACTTCGTGAAGGGTATATTAACTTTGGTATGGAGTTTGTAACTACTTGAAGGAGTCATCTGCAGTATGGACATATATATATATTCTTGCTCAGCGTAAAATTCTGAGTCGATTTAGACATGTCCGTCTGTCCGTCCGTCCGACCGTCCGTCCGTCCGATCGCACGATAACTCAAAAACGAATAATGCAATCGACACCAAACTTTCGCAAGTTTTTTCTTTTGTGCCAAGGACGAGCCCTATTGGTATTGGACTAATTCGGACAACGGGTTCGGGTAACTGCCATACAACTCAAAGAGTTTATTTTAAATATTTCAAAAACTAATAAAGGTATAAATATAAAATTATACCTTTATTGTATACATGTGTCCAATTATATTCTACACATGCTCTAAAAATTATAATGGGATAGCTGCACCGGTTCGGGTGGCTGCCATACAACTTCAACAGCAAATTTTTTATATTCGGCAAAATAATAAAGTTAGATTCATGAAACTTGGCAATCATGTGTCCAATTATGGCTCGAATATATTTCTGAAGTTTTGGTGGAATTGCTCGACAGGTTCGAGTAGCTCCCATACAAGTCTAATAGCTTATTTTAAATATTTGGAAAAATAATAAAGTCAAATTCATGAGACTTGGCAGTCATGTGTTCAATTATAGGTCCGACATATTTCTAAAGTTTTGGTGCGATTGCTTGACAGGTTCGAGTAGCTCCCATGCAAGTCTAAAAGCTTATTCTTAATATTTGGAAAAATAATAAAGTCAGATTCATGAAACTTGGCAGTTGTGTGTCAGATTATAGATCAGATATATTTGTGAAGTTTTGATGGAATTGCTTGACAGGTTCAGGTACTTGCCATAAAACTCCAAAAGCTTATTTTACATATTTGGAAAAATAATAAAGTCAGATTCATGAAACTTGGCAGTTGTGTGTCCGATAATAGATCAGATATATTTGTGAAGTTTTGATAGAATTGCTTGGCAGGTTCAGGTACTTACCATACAACTCCAAAAGCTAATTTTAAATATTTGGAAAAATTATAAGGTCAGATTCATGAAACTTGGCAGTCTGATGTCTAATTATAGGTCAGACATGTCCGTGAAGTTTCTATAGAATGATTTTAGAGGTTCAAGTAATTGCTACCCAATAACGAAAGGTGCAGGATATAATTCAATCGGTTTATATCGACTGAAACGTTTTTACTTGTTTTTTACTAGTTTTTGCAGTTTAGTTTTACATTTTTTATTGTTAATTGCTGTACTTAAATACAACAAAATTTTTTTTGTTTCAGTTTTCTTTTTTTGTTTTTCTTAATTTTTATTTTTCCTGAAATAAAATTTTTTACTATTTGGACGAAATGAATAAATTTTTTTTTTGCTAACATTTTTTGTTCATGAACACAGTACTGAAAATTCAAAATAGCAAAAGTTTTTATACAACTGCCAAAAATATATTATGTATCACATTACTGTTTTGCAGTATTGTATTTATGAAAATCTCTATAATACTAAAAACAATAAGAAATGAAACATTGATATCCAGATGTTACTTAACCAGATTGACACCCGTTTCAACCTATTCCGATTCATCCTTAACATAAGTATGTTACATCTTTATATTTTCAAATATTATTTGATTTTTTGGTTTATGTTTCTAATAATATAAAGTACATATAAAAGAAAGGAAAAAAAATTTAAAATAAGGCTATTCGTGGCTAAAAAACTCAAATGTCATATTGGACTCTACTCGCAAAATCTAGTGCCTTTTATCCCAAGTCTCTATCCCTTCCAAAAGTACCTCAACGAACTTTTTACCTATCCCCCCCTCTAAAAGATATGTATAACCTTAAGAATGCAATTTTTCAACTACATACATATTTATTACAGCGAAACCATAAGCATTTTTCAAATTTCGCAAATGCAGAAAAATATTGGCTGGCTTATTCTACCGTGCCATAATATACTTAAACTTTGAAACAAAATGATTGTTAAAATTTATCATTACCTAAAACATGTTTTTGCCAAATTTTTGATATTGATTTTCCTTTAGACCGAAAGGTTTAGGAATCTGAAATTTTTAAACCCTATTTTACAATCTACTTTGTAATTAGGCGAAAAAAAAATTTTGAAATGGTTTGACCCAACTTTATTTTAAATTATTACTCGCTGGTTGATTACTGCTGGTATATGGACGTAATTTCTTAAATTTTGCAAGTCAACGACTTATTACATAATTTAATTTTTAATTTTCCTTCATTAATTGTAATATTTATGTACATAATGTATATCCACTCGTATTTTAAGTTAAGCCCCAATACGTCAGCCCATGCTCAACGGTTAGCACAAAGAAAAACCTTGTTAAATTCCAATGTGAACATTTTTAAAACAATTGTTTTTTAAAACTAAATAATTAGATAATAGACTGATACACAAATTTAATTTCTTTCCAAGAAAAAACCTAATATTTTAAAACTTTTTTAATTACATATTTGGTTTGTAAGTTTAAGGATTTCACCTGTGATAAACGGATACATTTCACCTGTGATACTTCACCTTTTGTAAAGTTTTTTGATTTGCTAACTTTAAGAAATTACTTAAAATTTGGAAAAACCGATTAAAGAATCAAAAAAAATTATTTAAAAAAGTTAGTCTTTAATTGCGTAAGTATCAAAGGCAGCTACCTCTAGCGCCCTCAAATATTCTAGTATTACAAAATGTGCAATAAGACCATATAATTCGTACAAAATGTTAGTACATATAAATAAAGAAAGTCCTATTTTACAATCTATTTTGTAATTAGGCAAAAACAATTTTAATGAAATCGTAAGTATAATGATTGAAAGCATTCCGGAAGTATGTATGTATGTATATTCATTAAATATTATGAATGTAGATATGTACACACATACATACATTATATTAGATTGCGACGTTCTGAAAAATCACACATTTTCTAATAAAAAATTACCAAAATAAAATTATAATTAAGAACAAAAATTTGATTTCAATATAAAATGTTTCAAAGTTCATTAAGAAATGATAGTTTAAAATTTCGTTCGGATATTATGTTTTAAAGAATCTGTTCCAGTAGTTCCAAATTTCGACTAACTTTACTAAAATAATAGATTGTCAAAAATATTTGAGTTCCCAAATTATACCTTTTTTTCCGGAAAATTTACTCTATTAGAAAGGAAATATAGACTTTACTACCGGTCTATTAATCTATTAAGTCTACATATGTCTACATACATATGTATGTACATACAATTAAATGAATACGTACATATGTTTATATATTCTCTCAATGTTTTCTAACAAATTTGATTTTTTAGATAAGGCTAGCTATTATGCGAAGTACATAATTACTGAAAATTTTTTTATCAGTTTAAAACGAAACCGGGCTAAGGCCGATATTGCAACTTACAGAATAAAACTGTTCAAATGAGGATTTGTTTGAAAGATTATAAATTTTGTTTTGACTTATGAAATTGTATACTGACTTCTCTATTATTTTAAAGCTTCTTAATTTTTACAATAAATATTTTGACATAAGTCATTATTGACATATTTTGAAATAAGTCTACCTTTGAATCTTGTTCGTAATACTTTTTCTCTGCGTCATGATATTTATGTTTTTGAACCCAATATTTCTCAGCGGCTAAGGAGTATATCATCTGAAACCAATAATGAAAATCATGTTGGAAATTAACTTTATTCAAGTTTACTTACTTTTTCTACTAGATATTAAGAGATATTACTTCCTTTTAAGTTGCCTTTTTAATATAAAAAAGTATGCATATGCACCACTATGTATATGTATATATGTGTATACTATTTATATATCTACATACACTTTTAGCAATGAATCTAATAACCATACATAACTAGCAAATAATAATTTTTGAAGCCGTCATAATATTCATATGATTTGTTTTTATTTTTTGCAACATAGAAAGTGTTGCCAGAAAAGATTTGGAAATATGGTTAGGAAATATGAATATAGTTTTGTTTGAAATTTATTTTTTTATTTTTTATTTTATTTTCTTAGTTTAGTCAAAATAACTATTTAATGCAATCTCTTTATATTTTTTTGGATTTACAAAATTAACAACAAATTCATAATACTTTTTAAAAATTCAAGAAAGTCAATTCATATAAACTTGCAAATTTCAAACAAGAAGATTTAAATTTCAAATAAAAAAATTAAAAATTTCAAAAAATAAAAAGATTAAAAATAAAAAAATTTAAAATTCAATTTAACAAAGAAATTATAAAAGATTAATAATTTACTAATTAGTTATAATGGCTTTTAATGTACCATGCAACTTTTCCTTTAAATTCGCTTATGTTTGTTATCTGCTTCAATGTTATTGGAAGATCGTTATACATTTTAAGCCGATTGTACATATTCTGTGCGCTACTGCTCCCAAGAAGCTAAGACGGAAATTATCATTACTCCTTAAATTATAAGTGTGATGCTCGCCAGCAAAATTTAAATTTTTCACATTATGTGAAAAATTATTTATGTGAAAAATAAAATTTATATTGAATTTTTTATTTTTTTTATTTATAAAAATAAAATTTTTTTTTACTATTTTTGACATAAATAATATTTTATGTTTAATTTTAAAAACAATAACGAGCACATTTATTTTAATTTTTGCTTCACCTCTAGCCATTTCAGCGTTGCAAGCGTAAAGTTAATTGACGTATATCTAGAAATTTTAATGATTATCTATATGGCTATATATATATGGCATTTGTTATTCTCAGTCTTTTTCTAATAATTCTGAAATCATTTAGTTTTTTAGATTTTTTTTACAAATATAATCAATATGTTCAATAAATTTAAAATTGCTGTCGAACATAATACTTAAATATTTAATTTGATCCACCAGTTTCATCTGCAAATAATGCCAGTTTGGAATGTTCAGTGATTTTTTCGATGTCATTTAAATTTAAGATAAATAGTATCATACCCAGGATTGACCCTCGCGGCACTCCCAACTTTTTGTCCATTGAATTCGATACCGTATTATTTGTCCTCATTTTTTTGTTTTCTATTATTTAAGTAAGGTTTAAACCAGTTGATTTCTACAACATTAATGCAATATTTCCTTAATTTTTCTATTAAAAAATTGCGATCGATAGCTTTTTTTAAGTTTAGAAAACCACCAAATTTATTACAGCTTCACATCTGTGCGACTTCTAAAACCTAACTGATATTCCGACAAAATATTATTTTTTTCTACATATTCTTCTAGTTGTGAACTTACGATTTTCTCAAGTATCTTAGCTTCGGTAATTATTGTATTTATTGGTCTATATACAGCTAAATGCTTGGTATTTTTAACCTTTCCATCGATGTAACTAAAGTTTCCTTCCATGTCTGCGAATATATTTTTTCCTGCACAGACTTGTTAATTATAATCAAATATATCCTCAAGGATGTTCGCATTAAAAAAATTTCTGTCGTTTTTCTTATTCATGTGTTTATAACACATTTTTCGGTTGAATTATACTTATCATTTTGAATTTAAAAGTTGCATTTATCGCATCTTTACAATTTACATAGTACAACTTTTGTATACATGAGTTATTTTTTCAATAAATAATTTATAATTTTTCGGCATATACATACATATATACATACATATTTTTATTTTAGACGTTTTAATTACTTCCTTAGAATTAAAACAAATTGCGTTTATTTAATAGCTCTGTATATTATTACTAAACAAAGCAAAACAGTTTACTAAAAAAACAAAACCGTTTTTGCTAGATGTTAAGCTTTTAAGTTTAATATTAAGCGTTTTCCTTCATGATAAAAACTTAATCTGTGATTATTGTGCATATTTTAATATAATACAAAAAACTCTTTTAAAAACAAAAGTTTTGAAAATTATTTAAAATTAAAGCGAAAGGAATTAAGGAACAAAGTCACTGTGTACCATATGTGATATAGTAAGTCGCCTCAAAAACATTATAATTCTTATAAACAACCTAGTGTAATAAAACAAAGTCACTGAATTTTTAAATTTCATTTATTACAGTTTCATCAGGGTACAGCCCCTTGGAAATACCATACATCACAAAATGCTTAAAACATACCTGCTTTAAACTAATTATTGTTGCGATTATTTCTTATTTAGCAAACGCAGCAAACGAGAAGTTTCCATTATGAAATTTTCGCGTCTTGCTGTACATTTATCAGTTATCTAAACAGAGTAGTTATCTAAACATTGTATAAGTTTTGCATTTTTATAAAACTTATTAGAACTCAATCGTACAGTTTTCTATTAATTTATCGTTGTTGTTAAATATTTTTAAAACATTTGTATACATACTTAGTCTATTAGCAAATAAAGTTTTAAAAGTAAAATTTAAATATGTGTGCAACAATAGACAACTTCAACAAAGTTTGAAGCAAAATATTTGAAATGCAAAAAAATGTGAAACAGTATTTTAAAAATGAAATTTATGTTCACAATTCAATAAATATATTTATATATATATAATAAATATATATATATAATAAATATATATATATACATATACTTCTTGACAATAAAATTAATATTTTTACAAAATCGCTTTACGTTACTGGTAAAACCAACGTCATAATTTTGTCACAAAATAATAAATTTTTTTTTTAACTTTAAGCATTTTTCACTTGTACCAAAACGAAATTTTAATAATAACTTAAAATAGCCTACAATTTGGTTGTATTGAAAAAAAGACACTATGGTAATGCTAAAATTTACTAAATCATAAAATTTGACATTTCCAATTCGACGTAAGGGTACACTGCGTTATATGGGAGTGTAACATATATTGCCTTCATTTTTTTTATTAAAAAATATATGGCTGGCTATGTATTATAAGATCCAGAGATGGAAAATGTGATACTATTGTACCAAATGTGATGTTTTCTACATTGGTACTGTGTTACGCTCAACTGAAATGTGATACTTTCTGTTAATGTGTATTCATTATATAAAAATAGTTTTTTTTATAAAGAATAAAATCTAAAATCCTTTAGCATTATATTGAATGCAAAAATTTATTTTGTTATCAACTTTGCTATTATTTATTGCACATGTAAACCTATCCAATTAAAATTTGTCATTAATACAATAATAGTATGATTTGCCAAAAATTTGCTGAAGACGTGTGCAGAATTTGAATTTTGAAAACATATACTTTTTTTAAACTGGTCGGATTGCAAATCTAAATCATAAAAAACATTGCACAAATAATGAAGCGGCACAAAATACTGCGTTAGATTTAAAGATCACGAATGCGTCAGAAGCTAGATATCGTTAATAGCGCCCAAAAAAATTTCCGGAACCTTCAAACCCTGGTTAGAATATCAAAAAGAAATCCCTTTTTTAAAAAAAAGGTAACAAAACTAATTAGAGAAGCAAAAAAGAAACACATTATTACGAATGTTGAAAAAACAGGAAGTGATTCTAGGAAACAGTGGAAAGTAATAAATAATGCTATTAAGAACAAGAATGATGAAAAAACTGAAAATATTGGTTATGTTATTAGAGAGAATGGCATGAAAACTAATAATGAATATGACACAGCAGTGCTTAAATATATTAAACTTCAATGATATAGAAGAATCTATAGTAGCTCAAATCTCGAAAACTACAGCTACAAATGGAAATGCACAAAATAATCATAATAATAAAAGCTTGTTTCTTACTCCTGTTACAGAACAGGAAATTTACAAAATAATTATGAACCTAAAAAAAAAACGCAGCACCAGGTTTAGATAAAGTAACAGTAAAAGATCTTCAGGAATTAGTTAATGTAATAAAAGAACCTATTTCAAATATGATAAAGAAATGCTTTTTGGAGGGAGTTTTTCCAGTATCTCTAAAAAAAGCATATATTGCTCCAATTCATAAATCTGGATCAAAGGAAGAATGTGGCAATTACAGGCCTATTTCAATTTTAAACTCCATATCCAAAATATTTGAAAAGGCTATTAGCAACAGTATCAGAAATTTCATAACAAAATCAATACGGCTTTTTGGAAAAAGTGGAACACAGTCAGAAATTGCGGCAACTCTTGATGTTTTTAATGATATGATGCTTTAGATGATGGTTTGTATGTTGATGTAGTGTTTATTGATTTAACGAAAGCGTTTGATGTAGTTAACCATTCGAGATTAATCGATTTTTTAGAAATAATGGGAATACGTGGCATCAGTAATCAACTTATAGGAAGTTACTTAACCCTTAACGGTCCAGAGGTATTTCAAGTTTACTTTGCGCCAGGTCCAAGCTATTTTCTACAGGAAGAGGAAATGCAGGCTTAACATGTTTAAAACAATTATAGAGAAGAAAATATTTATATTTTAGTGAAAATTTTTTAATATATATCCAAAAATAATATAAATTTTATATTCTTTTAGGGTATTAAAATTTAAAAATTTAAATTTTATATACTTTGTGAAACAATCTCCAGCATGTATTCCCGGTTTACGGATGCAAGTATTACAATAAAATCTTGTTTCCCGTCTTTCGCCTTTTACCTTTCGGTTCGAGCAGACTATGCAGTCTTTTTTAGTCCCACGGAGAATGATGTGGAGCTTTCCATCGAGTCGCTGAAGACCTTGTTCAGCATTAGCGCGTCCTCGAGGTGTTTGCAACATACTAAAGTCACTAAAGGGGTTTTTGAAAAAATATTGAATTGTATCCGAGGTGGAATGTCATCATCTTCTGTAACGTCCTCCCGGTCAGTATTCTCATCAGTAGTAACGCGTTCATCGTCTTCATCCTCACTATAAGTAATATTTGTTTCTCGTTTTTTCTTTCTATGAACTTCTTCACTATCACTACTTTTGTCACTGATGCAGTCTGGGAACGGGCTGTTATTTTCATTTTCATTTTTATCACT